ACAAGTGCAGCTGCACCCCACAGCACCGGGCAATTGCACTTGACAAGTGCAGCTGCACCTCGAGAAATTTGGTGCAATTGCCCGGTGCTGTGGGGTGCAGCTGCACTTGTCAAGGCCTAGACAGAACTGATAACGATTTCATGGCACGTGATCTGGGATCCGACTAATCCTAAAACGACAACTGATCTGATTGAATGATTCATTGCTGTGGGGTCGCAGATCGGCACTCTTCGCGATAACCCCAACTTTCCTTATCTCACCCCATGAATGCCAACTTTAAGATTCTTCTCATTTCGAGTTCATCGATTTTCGGTTGTTGAAAGATGGCACTACCGCTACAGGAACTGATCTCTCCGCCCCAGGAAGAGACCCCGACAGCGCAGGAGGAGACATCACTACCGCAGGACGAGCTATCACTACCTCACCGGGAAGAAACATCACTAAACAAAGAAGAGATATCGCCACCCGAGGAAGAGACATTGTCGAGACAGCATCATGCGCCCATAGTGAGCGTAGCTGCGAAAGCTCTGGCCGAGAAGAATATCCCCGTCGTGGAGTATGGGGAGCAGATCCAGTGGCGCTACGGAGACCCTGTGGTCCTTCTGGTAAGCATCAAAGAGCTTTTGTGGCATTGACCAGTCGACTCGTTGGGCATTTCTAATGTCTTGAATTCCAGCGCGTGGAGTGGGCAGTCCCCGATGAACTGCTCTCGCTTGCGTCAGAAATTCTATCAGGCCAGGGTTTCCCTTCTGTGTCCCTATCCACAGGAGCTGTTGCTTACGACGGAGAATGGGATCGAGCTTGCACTATTCACAGGTTGGGCGAGAGGTGTCCGGTATATCTCTACCCGCTGTCATTTGTAGGCCTTGAGCTTCAGGACACCTGCAAAGTCACATCCACCTTTGACCGCACGCTCAAGATCTTGACGCCCAAACCCAACAAATACATGGTTTCGTTGCTTCGTCATCTCCTCAACCACCCGCTTGACGATAGTTTCAGACTTCGAGTAAAAGATGATCTACTGTCTTTTATATGCTTTTACATTTTACGTGAAAAGCCGCTGAATACGAAGGATGGGGAATGCGACGACGATGAGAACGAAGAAGATTACCAAAACAGAGTCGGAGAAGCATTGAGGGAAATGGAAACTTGGGATTGGGGCGCCGGTGAAAAGGACTATCTGAGGATTTCCGAATCTGTAATCCGAGACTGTCGGGCTATTGATCAGTTAACTAGTTGCTGATGAGAAAAGACCATCTCCGCATGTCTGAATCTCTTCTCCGAGACTGTCGATCTATTGACCGGCTCTGAGGACCCAGGTACGTGCTGAAAGAATATCAATAAACGTAGTAAGTTAATGGGATATTGGTACTTTTATTGACCAGGTATTGAATCCGTCATGGCTAGAGCTAAGTCCATTGCATGATATCTCCACCAAAGGGAAACCTCCCACGATTCCCTGAAGCTTATTGTAATTCCACTCTATTATCACCTCCGCTCTCCTCTCTGTTACCCCCCTAACTCTCACTCCTCCAGCATTTGACGAAATAACTCAGCATCCGGAGAGAACGATAGGAGGATGCAGAAACGAGAAGAACTGGATGCACGCGAATGCCTATGATGCTCGAGGTATCAAGGCAACAAGGCGATACCGGTGACTCGTCACACCAGCTTTCTAATTGCTGATGAGTGCCAAATCCTCCGCGCTCAAGGTGGCCGCAAGCAAAGGGCGAGTTGTTGTATGCATCTGGTATAGCTTGCGAACCAAGGCGAGTAACTCGTGCTCGGGCTTCTCCGGATATCCCTCGAAATCGATAAGACTGCCATCGTTAACCAGCCAGGTCAGGATTCAGGATTACCTGAATATCTTTGACGTCCCTCACTGCTTTTCTGGTACTTGCGGGACGGGTGGAGTTGGCGATAAATGCCCATCTCTTGAGCTTGGTGAGGACGAGGACGGAGGGTGCAATGATGGGGACTTAAGCGCCATGATTGATTCGCGAAAGCTGGCTCTAGTAGAATACACAGGTACTCACTTGGGGTCTCCTCAACACGTCCCGGCAGGACATTGGCAGTGATGGAGCGAAGAGAAACCGCATTTGCGTCAGGTAACTTCAACTGTCTGCCTTCTCCTCCACGAAGAAGCTCAACTGCGATGGGCTTATTATCCCCTCCCGAAAACACAAGTTTGCTGCTGGGGGTCATTGTGAAGCGGGCGTTGGCCTGGAGAAGCTTGTTGCGGGCCTCGCTTGGGTCCGAATCCACGATTACATCAATGTCCTGAGTCAGATTAACTCATATATCATGTTGAGACGATACAGGGAATATGCACCTCAGTCATTCTCGATCCGCCAAAGAGACGTCGCATATCCGCCCATGAACCCATGACGAATGTTGGCGCGAGTGAGAGCGACTGTTGTTTCCTTGGCAGCTGCATCGAGAAAGCGGAAAGGTTCATCTTCCTGGACCGGATCATAGCTCGAGCAATTCAACTGAGAGAAAATTGAGAGAAGAGAAGCTTCGAAGAGTATTTCTTGGGGTCATCGAGAAGAAGAAAAGAGGATGAAAGAGAGAGAGGAGGTTACAAAGATAGGCAGAGTAAACAAGTAACCACGGTATAGTCGGGGAAGTTACTACCCAGGGACGATAACAGATGGAAGGTACGCCTACATGAAAGGAAGCATTGAAGGAAGGTTGACTCAGTTGATGAGACTTGTTGGCTGCGTACATACTACAAGCCGCCGTCGGATGACCGTTGGTCTACCATGGGGGATTTTATTGAATCAAATTCATGTAATACCTCAGCTATCTGCAATGATGCATTTTCCTACAATTTTGGTTCCAACTGGGAGAAAATGTTTATTCGTCTGCCCCGGCTTATAGAACCTCAACTAGGCCTTGGAGATATTGAACATCTCGAAAAGAAAGCCGAACGTCTTTTACAAGGCGTACTCATCGCTGAGGCTGCTCACCCGGGGAATTTGGAAGAACTGTGCTATGACCCAGAAGAGGACGCAAGTCTGAGGCAGTGGTTTTTCGACCGATACCACATCTACATAGTCATTTTTCTCAATACACATCTTTTTGTACTCGACCAAGAGCTCATGTGAATAGTAGTTCGTCCTCTTATCAATTATAAAGCCAAAACTGTTTGCGCTCCTAAGTGCCCGAAATACAACCCGACAAAGGGGGCAGTTTGTCGCACGGCGGATGTCTCCGAACATTCGAGAAGCAAATGTGCACTATAGTCCCACGCTTTTACTATTATCTTGCAGTTGGTTGGTGTCCCAGAACTCAGTGTCTTCCAAATTTATTGACGAATTCCCTGATATGATTTCTGCATTTCACGTGAAATATCAGATAGAATGGGAGCTATCTGGTATACGATCTTGCTCAAAAACCAAAAAAAAAAAAACATGACTTCCATAGAGAAAATTTATGGAGGAAATTGCGCGGTCACGAGGGTGGAATTGTGATGAAGGAGAATGTGAAGCTGCAGGATTGCTTCGTACCTGATAAGGTGTAGCACACCTGCGCTAGTTTGCCTTGCTGCTGCCTTCACTACCACTCTGTATGTTAGGGGTGTTTTCACACGTTACAAGGTTTTTCTAAGCCTATTGGTTGATACGTACCGGTGGTGTATTTCCCAAGGTTGGAAGGTGGTAAGACTACCACGTGGCTGTGTCTTCGTTAAGCAGTATTGCTTAGCTACTCTTAAGTGCCATATGGCGAGCCCACAGTGGCCTAATGAAGTAAGTAGCTAGTGAGGCTGAGCTGAAGAACTTTACTAGTGATTTTGGTCTGTGTTCTGAACAAATAAGACCCTTTAGGGTACTCCAGGGTTAGAAGCTAGACTGCTTATATTTCATCTTCATGTGGCTATTTTCATGTTGAATAAACCAAATAAACCACCGCCTTGCCGGAACTAGCTCATTGAAGCAGAGCGACATCTACGTAGGAATACATTCATTGAAATGAAGATAAGGAGCTACTACAAACAATGTAAAAAGTACCTATTTCGCGACACGCCTTATCTGCTCCAGACTCGTCCAAGGTGTCCATAAGGTGGTGTAGCTCATCCCATTGAGCCTGTTCGTCAGGTAATAATTTGCCGTGGAAAAATGTCTCAAGTATCGCGAGACCAATGTGAGGATAAGCTTACTTGACAGTAAATGGCGTGTCTATAACCTTAAACTCACTAATAACTTGGTTAAACGTGAGAGAAACGCCAAAAGCTTCTGGCCGGCGCGGTGAGCCTGTAATGAGTATATTCTCCCCTATTCCGATAGCCCCTGCCCCTGAATTGAACCAAGTATTGCGCCGAATACCAGCAGCGATGATCAGGAGCATAAACCCATAAGATAGACAATACGATCAGAGAAAGTGTGGTCAAGAAAGTGTGGTCATCCATGAGTTCGAGCCCACTCTATTAGAAGGATCGGTCGCGAGACTTTTAAGGTCTAGCCCTTTTCCTGTATCGATGATGACTATTGCATGCTGTGAGCTATTCCCACGAGTGAGAATAACCGTCTTGTCTGAATTATGCTTATACGCCTACTTCTCCTTGGACTATTGGGGGAGACTAGCTGTTCTAGAAGAAAGGATAATTCCGGCTCCTATAATAAATAGCTCGCTCCAGTTATAATTTGTAGTAATCGGAATGGCTGCAAGGGCCAGTTGTATAATGGCGGTTATAAATCCGAGGTGTAGAGCCGCTTAAAGCCTGGGTGCCCGGCTTGAGCTTGTTCAGCGCGAAACACGGAAACAAACAGCTCTGTCTTTGTGGGTCGTGAAATAGCTCGTAAAGCGCCTGGTCGCTGCTTATTGGCCTCCTGGCAGGTCTTGGTCCACCGTTGGTCAAACATTCGGTCAAGGCGGCGGTGGATTGGCCCGTTGTGTTCTCCGCCGTCTATCTATACGTCGAAGTCCCGCATGATGTGCCCTAAAATCCAACACTGGTTCTTGCGCATGTATCCCGACCGGGTGTTAATGACTTTGTAAGAGCTGTTAGGTAGTGGCATAAGACGATGCTCGCAATGATGGTTAACACGGCCGTCTTAGCATAAAAGACCCATCCTTCAGCTTAGCTGAACAGGACGCGGATGTGACCAAAAGAAAATACGAAGCACAGGTGGCAATAAACGGGGTCGGCCGTGGGCTTTAGCATACATGACGCTAAGACCGCCCATGGTGATTAGGCGGCTTAAAACGGCGTCAAGAGCAGCCCTTTCTGGCCTCCCATTCACTATATGATCGTTATATGTAGTAAACATTCGTCGATTAAAGCATTACTTCGTATAAGATCAAGGAGCCCCGTAAGTCCTCTCAATTCCGCTATAGACTAGGTTTTAAAGGCATACTAGATCACTATACAATCCGCCATATTTCTCGAGAAGGAAGTGAGCGAATTACGCGCCGCTAACGAGGTAGAAGCAAAAGCGTACTCGATCCCGAAGGCAGATACCCGCTGAAGTAGGCTTAATAGTTTAAGAAGCTTCGTAATTAATTACTAAGCCGGTAAAAGTAATTAAAGCACCTCCCCCCCGCCGGTAGAGAAGGCCTTTGAGGGAGAGGAAATTGAACATTAGCATTGTCAAAGTCCAAGGTTGAATACATGGATTTAGAAGGTCTTATACCCGGAAAATCATGTGACCATTGGTACGGAACATACCATACAAAAGTGCATAATACAGTTAGTCATCGATGTCCGCACAGATTGTTGAAATAGCGGGTTTTGCCATTTTAGTTAGAGTTCTCAATATCTGCCATTCATACCATACGTTGTTCGTACCACACATTTCTGTAAAGCATTAACTGGATTCTGCCGGAGAAAAAGCTAAAGGTGGGAGATACCGCTTCGGTGGTCCGACCGCCGATCCGGGATGGATGCTGTTTCCGGTTTTCACGTAGGTAGCTTTAAGGAATATCACCACTCTTCCCATCAAAATTTTTTCCATCGGATAGTTGAACATTCACGTATATCCGAAGGATTCAGATCCTTCCTATAGTCAGAGAAATCCCTCTAGGTTCGTTCCAGCAAGATCTACAGGGTGAGTCTGCCACGGGGAGCGTGGGTCAGATTCCGGTCTGATAGCTAACATCGCTGTCTCTCATACGGTAGCCGGGGGTTTGATTCCCCCTATCGGAGTTTATTTTGTCTTTTTTTGTCTATGGCTCTAATATAACTAAGATCCTCTGTACAACATGCAGTTTATGCTTTTTACTGCCTTAGTATATTTGGTCTACTGAGTAAGCAGTCCAGGGTCCAACCTGCAAGTCAGGAAACGTGCACTCCACTGAGAGATTCGCACCAGTCTCAGTTGATAGTGGGAAATGGGTCGTTCACAAGCCCATTTCGATTGGCGTATGGGGATGTAAAGACAGTCAACAAGGGAGACGACAAGAAACCTAAGAAAGAAGACTGGGATAGTTCTATTGATCAATTGCAGAGACACATTCGCAAGTAGACCAAGCGCGATCTCTCCCGACCTTTGCTTGGAATTGTCGCATTAGGCTTGAAGTCAGGTTCTTTCTTATGAGTGCATGAGAAAGCTCCAGCCCTACGGCCAAAGACTCGGCATCTTGTCCATCAAGACAGTTGCTATCCTGTCCCGCCTGGTCAGCCGCGCTCGCCCCGACCACGCCGCTAGCATTAAGAATATTGCCGAATCTTTCCACAATCTTGCCCTCTCAGAGCACCAACTAGAGAGCTACGTTGAGGACCAGGTGACTGCGGCTGCCACCGCAGCTTGTCACCTGAACGCCGCGCCGTCCCGAGTCGACGGGAGCGTCCCCATCCGTAGAATCCGATATTGTTCGTATCTGAGATAGCACTAATGAGATGGTAAGATTTGTGAACTAGATTAAGTCTGCGTTTGACACCCTTGCTCGGACTTTTGACGACGCCGAGGTGGATCCCTCCAAGAGAACCTGCCCTCACAGTAACTTTCTGTCTCGCTTTCCCTTTCCGTTCAAATAAATGCTGAACTTGCTTTTGCTTTTGGGTTTGGACACTTCCAGGAAACCTGAAAAGTAAGGGGGTTAATCTTTAGATCTGTAAAGTAATTCACTACATAGTTAACACAGAGTAACGATCTCGTAAAGGTAGTGTAAAGTTAAAAGTTACCTAGGTATGTTTAAAGAGCTGGGGCTCCAAAGTAGGTCATGAGCAGATAATGAAAAATCGGCGATGAGCTACGAGATAATCTGTTATGGCGCATTGGTGCCCCTTGGAGACTACCGTAGGGTGGGACTCGGCCGTTGTCTTGGCATAGTCAGTTCCAAGGTTAGGTCTACCTAGGTATGTAAACTTTGGAACCCATCCATGGATAATAAGCAAGCCGCTAAACCTTCAAAAATGAATTCATTAAGAGTCATTTACATATAGTAGTAACTAGGTAATAATTACGACAGCCTGATCCCAAGGTGGAGAACTACAGCCGTAGACGTATGTCCGTAGCCTTGCACTTTCACCTCACTCTACAGCGAACATCACGGCCACTCTACCAGAAAAGCAACCTCTCGTTAGGGGCGGGCATGCCCGAATGCCAAACAGGCTCCCCTCATCTTTTGTTTCGTCGACGGTACCCTGCGTATATGACAATACCGTCATTCTTGCGGCAACCCACCCCACAGTCTCGACCGCAGATCCATCAGACGATGGGTGGTTCATTTCGGATTTTTATGCCTTTAACTATCTGTTGAAAGGCTTGGGCATGCATCAGACATGGATAACCGCAGCTGATCCAAGAAAATTAGTGGAGAAGTATGGCGCATACCTTCATGGCAACCCGTATGAGGATCGAAAGGTCTGCCTCGATAAAGACATGCTAGACCAACAGCAAATCACCCCAGTCACCATAGTTCGCTCGGGTGAAATGATAGATCGGGTTCTTTCAGAGGCAAAACGGGCGTCAGAATTAGCGAAACAGCATGAGGCGCCACTTCTACTACTCTTCTTTTGCCATGGGCTACCGAATCATCACTTATTATTCAATGATGGAAACAGCCATAAGGGTCTCAGCATAGTCAATCTCAAGGGCGTGCTTGAGCCAGGTGTGCGTGTGACTCTCCTTAGCACCGCTTGTTATTCCGGCGGATGGATCACCACTCCCGAGCTCAACCACACCGCCATGGCAGCTGCTGGCGAGGAAGACGATCTAGCCGCCGGAACTTCGAATGCCTGGGGTATATCCCAGAGCATTGGGCGAAGTTGCGGGTCCGTGTTTGTAAGCACCCTGTTGAAGACTTTGTCTAGTGCGACAAGTCCTCTTCTCGAAGAACCTGGTCTGGACACAAGGCTATCAGACCCACAGCAAAGTCTTCAACCAGATAACCCCAATAGCTTGCAGACTTTGAGCTATAATTCATTTTGCGATTCTGTTTGGAGTACATGCGAAGATCGCATAACACGGCTCTGGAGCTTCCAACACTTCAGGTTTTGTGCCCAGGATGATGCCTGGGAATACTCGTGGACAGGGAGAACAGGAATCCCATTGTCCCACTTTAGGAACCGGTGGGATGGACTTAACTCCTACCCATATCAAGGGCCCAGTGATATCAGGGATCTTAGAAATCCACACCCGAAAAACACCACATTTTTGGAGCAAGATCCGAACAAAACTGCATCGGGAAACCAGGTTATTGATGAAATGACTGGCCATATAGCCCATGGAAGACTAAAAGAAATGGCCAGAACTTTCCACCAAACCTGTCCCGGTGAATGGGAAGTGGTAAGGAGGTGGGCTTTGGAGGCACGCTCCGTGGATTCTACGAGCGTGACCTGTTCCAGGAAAAAGCGCCGATGTTTGAAGCGGCGATACGCTTTAGGTGGGAGGCAGCCCTTCTCGCAGACTACATTCTCGAGTTGTTTGACCTTCCTGCTCCTGGTAAGGAGATTTGCATCATGTGGAACCGGTTTTTGTGGCTTGAACATAAACTGGAGACAATGCCAATGCCCGACTTGGAGGCACGTTGGCGGAAAATGTACAAGTCCCTTTCTGGTTATTTTGAGATTCCTTGCTTGAGAGAGCAGGGCCCACCTTTCTACCGACCACTACATTATTTGGTCGCGGCCTTTTTAGAAGCTGATAAACCAGAGCATGAGACAAGTGCTATAATTTCCGCCATTGGGGATTTTATAAGCACAGTTCGGATGTTTCACCAGCAACGTCTATATAAGGACCAAGAAGTTCGGGGTAGAGGCCGCGAGTGGCTAAAATCCATCGGTCGGCGGGCTCGTAAGTCCCTCTCACCGCGTAAAAGGACATGCCACTCAACATCCGTCTCTTGCTAAGTTTGCCCGGGGAAGGTTTACGCGCTCCCTTGCTACCCTTGCTACTGAAGGGCTGAGAAGAAGGCCACAGAAGCGAATGAGATAGAGGAAGAACATCACATTATTATTATTATTATTATTTCCTAAGCTCTAGGGATTTGTATTTTAGCCTACTGGTATTGGATATCAATAAACCCTACTTCCCGACTTCAAGTTGGGCCGCCAGGTTTTGCTTAATTCGATACTATAAGTAGAGAGAAGTCAGGACTTGTGCCGAGACCGCGGGGTACTCAATCGTACGCAAAAAAGAATTGCAACCCCACGCCAGGTCCAACAACCATATAAACATACCCCACTAAAATGTCGACAGCTTCAACGATCTAACCGGCCACAGACGCCGCCTCTCACCTCGACCAGCCATCACCCTCACACTTAACAATTGGCTAGCGCTCTCACTAGCCGTGCAATCAAACTAGGGCGGCCCGAACTTAAGCGAAAAGTGGGACTAGCTTTACGGTGCAATTTCCGACATGCTAGCCGATCGACCCGAGACCGACGCCGAGGACCTAGAGGAAGTACTTATCTAAGTGGTAAGCGACGAGTTCGATATAGTAGTGGATAACGAGAGCGCTACGGACGTTACCGGACCTAATTATAGAATTGAAGGCGTAGACGGATCGCGGAGAATTCGGCACTATCTAACAGATATTAGAGAAATTCTAGAAGAAGAGTTAGAATCGCTCTACTATAGGTTAGTTATAGAGTGTTAAGGCTGCGGATAAGGATTAGGAGACGGATAAAAGTGAGGAAGGGGATTTTAAGATAGGTGATGCACCGACTTGGTGCGGGCTCCTAGGGGGCGGGCTGAGCCTGAGATTGATAATGATGGGTTTACGAAGGTTGTTAGAAAGAAGAGGTAGATTTGGACTTTTGTTGAATATGTTTTGTTTTATTTCCCGTTCGCTTTAGTGATAACAGGAAGCCCTTGGATAGCGTTGGAGGACGGGCTACTACTAGAGAGGGGAGAAAGCAGAGGAAGAATCATGATCTATTCAGAACTGACGAACCAGGGTTTATATATACACTGGGAAAAACCATCTGAAAGAAGAGCTCAGTCTACAAACAACAAACAACTAGCAGACTAGCAAACAAGCATCCATGGGATGCTCCGTGGGGGATCCCAACAAATCATTTTCGTCAGCGCGACTCTTCACTATCACGGCATCCCATTCCAGGCCCATGTCTCCGTTGCCAAGGCCGGCATTGACTCCCTATCCAACTCCACGGCTATTGAGTATGGCCCTCGGGGGTTGACCTCTAACATTATTGCCCCTGGCCCCATTGCCCAGACGGAGGTCAGATAATCGAAGTTGATTTGCGTACTAGCGCAAGCTAACGTTGTTTCCAGGGTTTGGAGCGTCTACTCCCATCCGACGCCAAGGCTGCTTATACCCAGTCTCAGCCTCTGGGCCGTTTCGGACACGTTCGCGATATTGCCGATGCAACGGTCTATCTCTTCTCTGGTGCCGGGAGCTATGTCACCGGTCAGACTCTCGTTGGTAAGTGAATGCCATTCGCGTTTGATGTGATCCGAAAAGGCGGTTTGTGATCGAACATGCTTTCAGTCGACGGCGCAAACTGGCGGACTTCGGGGGCCCTTGCGACCAACGGACACCTGCAATACCCTGACTTCCTGCTATGGAGGGAGGAAGAGCAGGGGACTATATAGAACGACGCACGGGAACGTAGACGGAAGAAGAGCGCTAAACCAAAATGGTCAATTCTAAACTTAACGCAGTAATTCGCTGTCCCCCTCCCATATGGTGTAATAGGGTGTACCGACGGAGAGACCATGATTCTACGTGGTGTTATACTGGGAAAACTGTGGTGTTTCCGCGCAGGCAAGAATAAAGTTGGATAGTGCGGTTGTGAATAGACTAAGACCTGGTTAGGTATAGCCGGCGTTTATTTATGCAGCACTTCTAGCATATACACTAAACCTGAATAGGTATAGCTGGGCTTCATTCATGCAGCACTTGTACATCCTGGCGCCTTCATTATGGGTCTGTCTCAACCCCAAAATAGTAATATGATGACCCTAGTCTAAATTCAGTGTATTGTAGTCAGCCTAACATAAATGGTACTGATTAACACACCAGCGGCTTAATCATAAGTCCATGGGCAATCGTGGATTAAATAGCCCAGCTTGTCCCCCCCAGTTTGACCTCTGCCTTCCCAGCCGGTCAGAAAAATGCCACCTAAGAAGACGTCCAAGAGTATCACAGACTACAATGCCTTCATTCGACAGGCAGAGCCACCTACCAAACACAAGAGAGCTAAAGCAACGTAAGAACGTCTAATAGGCATTTATTACAACTTCTAGAGGTATTAGCACCAATTTTGTTTAAGATCTATGCTTTTATTAATAGATTCAGGTTTATATCTCAGCTTTCACCACCGGACCATAAGTTCTAGATCGAAAATATTATATTAAGATTTATTAAAGGTAGACCTCATTGAAAACATTTTGAGGGCGGAGGGCGGGTAGCGACCTGCCCTCATTTGCATTAGAAAAGTTGACCTTTCCTAATTTAGACGTATAAAACTGCTAAGTCATCTTAATAAATTACTATTATTTAACACTTTTCTGGTTTGAATATTAGTTTTAGCATCTATTTCTTTACTAGAATTAAGAAATTTTATGAAACCAAGTTGTATTATAATTAATGATAGTAGGTAATAGTGATATTATAGATTTTTAATCTTTTTAAGAAAAGTAGTGGTTGGTAATTTTAAAAGTTGCTAATTCTATAAGAAGTTGGAGAAATAAGTAGTACATACATACATGGTGTATACTTTCATTTTTACACTACTAAGCTGTAAACAGAATACTGAATAGTACCGCCGGAACCTGCATACTTTATGCATCTAAGCAGATTTCCATGTTTGTTATGTTTGTCGGCCCTCAAAATGTTTGGAGGGCCCTCTGAGGGCAATACCCTGACCTAGCAAATACTATACCATTCAACAGACGGCTCTTTGGATATGGACTCAAGTGACATCTTGAGCCAAGCCTTTGACCTTAGCATAACTTAGTCTCAATAACTTTCGCTATGTTGTAGTGGCTTTGTCTATATCAGGTTGCAATAGACGGCAAATTGCAAATACTCTCAGACCACACAGGTTACAATATCTGACCAGTCTATAGGCACTTCTTTTATCTGCTTTGGAATTTTGGGCAAGGCTCACCTCATATTTTGAATCCTATAGACCGCAATGAGATTCTGTATAGTCCTAAGTGCTCCCAAAAGATTGAAGCACGCTCAAATGCGATCCCTTTCACGACCATCGAACAGCAATTTGCGAGTACACTACTTATCTTTGTTCATTCAAAGTCAAAGTCAAAGTTTCATAATCCGCTCATTATATAGTGGAAAAGTTTCAGAAACAAATTTCAAGCTAAAATTTCAGGTTCCAGAATTGAAGTGGACTTTAATCTCAGTTTCACCATATGCTCCATGCAAATATCATCATATCCAACACTCAACTCCGATTATATTACCTCATGCTCACTTGATCAAGATCAGGGTACATTAGTAAGAGCCTCATAGAGTTGCAAGAAGTCAATAGCCTAAGACGCACGCACTTCTGATATTTTGAACAAACGCTCACTTTCAAAGATCTGAGCCTTAGTGCAAGATCTGAGCCTTAGTGCACAACCATACAACAGATTATATTTGAGGTTATAGCAGCCAGAGAAGTGGGTCCCAAAAACTTGCACAATTCAGTGGCTCAAAAGGAATATGACGTTAACAGTTTGGTAGCAGAATGCAACCAGAAGAGGCTTCAGCAGCCCCCGCTCCGATCCCCGAACATCCGCCCGACGGGCCAAAGAACGAAATTAAATATCCCGACCCGGTATACGGGGCGTTTGGAGACACAGATAGTGGTCCACTCTTCTAGGCAAAAAAGGGGCAGGAAGCCCCATAGGGGAGATGCTTCAACGCGTTGCATATAGAAAGCAGTCTACTACACCGTATAGTGGGTATGACTTTATTAAGGGAGCCAATGCTTCAAAGCAACTCCAAGAACAACAAGCGCAAAATCGTGGACGGCGAGGCTTTTAATAGCCAGATTGCACAGTTCTTATATACCGCCGAGGCGTAATTGGCTCACGCTATAGGGGAAAGGCTCCCCGCGGACCAGGCCTACACAAGCTGCAAAAAGCGGGACGGCAAATTCACTTCATACGTCTTAGTTCCTAGGCAATCATACTACACCAATTGCTTATGGCCAAATCGAACGGAGCGCTACGAGTTTGATACAAGCACCAGATGTATATCAAAACGACCTACTAAGACACGGAAGAGGAACACTAAGAAACCACACGAGGGGAATATGTTCGCGAAGAAACGCCGAGTTTTAGGTGAACTGGACAGCATTATTGCCAGTATAGAGCGGAACGTGTACCGCCAGAGATAAGCACTCGAGGCTGAGGAGGAGCAGTTACGCAGGATCAAGGCGCACCGTCAGCAGATCGTGGAAGAGCCAGAATTTTGAATTTCTTATGATATATCAAGAGCAAAACAGGATAATTCGATATCCTCGTCATCTTGAGGTCCAGCTATACCTATCGGTAGAGTTGTAGTTGTTGTAGCCTAGGCGAACAGTTGAATCTTGGGGAGAGTCGAAGAAGACTTGGGAAGACTTAGGGAGACTTGAGGAGACTTGAGGAAGACTTAAGGAAGATTGGGGAAGTGTTAAGGGAGAGTTGGGAAGAGTTGAAGCAGATTTGGGAAGGCCTCAGAACCTCGGGGGCCCACACCCCACACATTACTAATCCTCTAGGGAATGTATAAAAGGGCGGTATAGTGTGGCAGAATAATGTACTAACCCGTTCAAGCGGGGCTTCTGCATGTACTAGTAACTACTTCGGAAGACTGACGATTTTACAACTTTCATCATTTTGAAGCTCTCGATTGATTAATTTATCCCCACACCCGTTATCCTCATACCCGAAC